TTTTTTTTTTCTTATTTTATATCCGATTTTTAAAATCCTTATGTCTCTAAATAGGTCTCGCTCCGGACTATATTTGGCCATTAAACAGTTATATTTTTTATACCTTCACTAATTTAGGAATTACTATCCCTGGATTTGTATTTTTATACTATAAATCTCAACCTCTCAAAAAACGATGACGACCTTGCTAAAAAAATTGGCTTATTCAATTATAGTTCTAAGCAAGGCTTTTTCGGCGACATAGAAATTAAAAAAATGGATGGCAAATAAAAAAGTTAAAGCAAAAAACGCGATTTTTTAACACAACATTTTTTCTCGATATTAGTATTTAAATAAAACTGACACGCTAAACTTTTTTTCGAGATATTTTTGGGCTACAGTGCGGCCATTGGTGAAGTTCTAAGTGGTCATCCTAATCATATTTGTTTAAGAAATGTTTTCTTCTTCATCGCCGACTACCAGGCCAGCATGTCTTGGAAAAGCATCGGCCGAAGAGTTGCCGGAAAAAATCTTGTTACTTCATCAGTAGAGTCGCTTCACCTAGCTTGGGTCTAGACCAGTTCGGAGTACTAGGTCTGTATATTTTGTTATACTTTGCTTGTCCAAATGTGTATGACTTGTTGTACTTGGCTCATGAGTGAGTTGTGTGTGGATAGGTGGATGAAGAAGACTTCACCTACACGGACAGCAAGTTGGGCATTCCATTTTCTTAAGTATCTTGTTAACCATCTGCGATCGTGGTAATGGCGACTGTAGGCGTCCCATCCTTTAACCTCAATTTTCTTCGTTTTTTTGGCTGCAATACTTTCCAAAAGATTTAAGCTTGTCTTCGACCTATCCACTCTAATGTTCGTTTTTTGTGAATGTTTGGAAACCAACATGTTATGCAAATAAATGAAAGCTATCATTTTTATGGTAGTACATACATATTATACTGACAACAACTACATAGAGCAACACTCATTGCCAATGTTTAATATTGATATATACGTTCTGATAATATAAAATGTGCTGACCTTACTTTTACAAAGAAAACATATAATATACCCAATCATTGGTAAATAAATGTATGTATGCTTCTGTGTGTTAATTTGTGTACAAAATAAATACGCTAGCTTAGAGTGAAAAGTTTCTAAGTCCCAATTAAAAATTGAACAGGAGTGGAAAACAACTTCTTATAGCAATTTTCTTCAAGTATTTCGCAAAACTTTGAATACAACTTTTTGCTTGTTTAAAGCAAAAGAGGGATTCGGTCTTTATCAGAAGATTTCGTACTATTTTGGCTGTATCGAATTTTCCGAGATTTGTTTGGACTTTCCTTTCATTGAATATAAACGAGAAAGCATAAAACAAGGACCTTTATGCATTTTCAATTTCTCTAGCCTCCTATATCAAAATGCATATGCGCTTTCATAAAAAGTGGACTTAGCAACTTTTCACTCTAAGCTGGCGAATATTGACCACACTCAGTAGTTATTGGTGGGGATGGCGAATGTTATGTATAAGCAAATGCTCAGTCACTCATTCAATCACTTCCTTGTGCCTTATTCTTCTTCCTATTTACTTGTGTACATATACTATGTATGTATGTATGTATATTAGAGTGTCTCACAAAAAAATGCAGGTTTTCCATCGGAATTATAAAACTTATTATAGGTTAATATTTTGGACCGATTTGAAAATTTCCTTATTTCTATTCCGTTGATGAAATTTTTAAACATTTTTATGAAGACATTTTTTAGCTTAAACTCTTCTATCATCTGAGGTGATTTTTTGGAAAAAACATTTTTAAAAACTAATGTTATTTATAAAAAAATCGATTATTAAAGCTATTTTCAAATCGGTCCATTTGGAAGAAGTCTTAAACTACGAAAAACATTACATATCTGATGGAAAAACAGTACCGATTTTTTGTACGGAGAGTGGTGCCCCCTAATGCTCACGTAGATCTTAATATTTTTCCGAAATATTTTCGAAGAAGTATTACGCCAAATTCATAAAAAATAAAAAAAGACTTTAACTGCTTTATAAATCGAAAATTTGTATGAAAATGTCACTTTATAAAGCTCTTTAAACCTACTTTATTTTTTATAAATATGGCCATTAAATTATAAAAAATTGTATAATGCCGTTTGAACAGTTTTATCGATTTTTTTTATGAAGTGTGCATCGCCCTAACTTAGATGACTAACATACATATATGCATACGTTTAGGTAGTATAATCTAATTAAGTTGTACTATTTTATGAGTAAGTCCTAACGGTGTAACTTCAGTTGTAGTTAACGATTATGTTTAAATAATTACGTTAATGACAACTTACTTATAGTCATACACTCGGTAATTTTTTGTTTTATTCTCTGTTATTTTTCCAGGCGATTATTTACGAAGGACAAGATAAAAATCCGGAAATGTGTCGTGTTTTGTTAACGCATGAGGTTATGTGCAGGTAAGTTTCGTTATATGTATTTATGTATATATGTATGTGTGAATGTGAAATGCATATATAGCTGATTTTAATAAGGCAACCATAGACCAATTTCCCATTTCTCCTAATTAGTTTTTCACTACTCATTCGCGCAGTATTTTTTCTACGATTGGTATCATAATATTAATCATATTTCGCTTATGAAAAACCTTACCGTCAAAACACATCTGCTTTTCGGATCTCTCATAGCATTGCAAGGCTCTCAGATGACAAAAAGAAATGTAAGATAAACTTTCCACGTTAGATGAGCTAGGCTAACTTGTCAAAGCTTAATATATGGAGTCATTCTCTTTCCCAAAAATTAGTTTGAAGCTAGAAGAAACTGATTTAGGACGGTCTGTGAACGTCAAGCTGTTACTCTTCCAGCCTTCGCCGGGCAGTGCCAAAGTAGCTGCAACTTCGGCTGAAATAATAGCTTAGAACGCCCTCTAAGAACCTCTTGGCTAGACGTTTTTTTTATCCTTTAAGATTGCGTGAGGCGTTTGAATGGTAATCCGTCACGCAATCTGACACGTAATTACGTAGAATTTTACGCAAAATAGAAATTTGCTTCTTTTTGTAAGAGTGCCTGCAGAGTACGTAATTTCGTCAGCTTTCAAGTTTCCTTTACTGGCGGGAAGTGTGGAGGAAATACCTCAGTACCATACCTGGTGGTGATGTATGTATGTATGTATGTACATATGTAGATTTCACTAGAAATGGTACTACACTGTACCAGTGAGTTTTAGAAATAAATACGTAGCCATCAGCTCTGCCTGAGAGTTCCTACAGTGATCAGACAGACGAAAACGATGAGAATATAAGTGGTCCTTGCTCTGACTTACCCCAGTTTCTTCCTGGCGTTAGATGGCTCCTAGACTTATTGTCTCAAGTAGCACACTGGTGTATAACTTGGTGCAAATTTGTTAAATTTGGTACAATTAACCAGATTTATACTAAAATTTACACCAAGTTATACCAGTGTGCTACTTGAGGTCCGTCGTGGTATTGGAAAGCAGTAATCGGCTTCACTACTGTGTGTGACTAGCTTTGGACTGCATTAAGTCCCAAAGCGGGTTATATATGCTACCTTCCTTGTGGAAAGATCCATCGGACGCAAATTGATGAGCGTGAAGTGTGGCTGAAGTCCTCGTCTCACATTTGCCAACGCGTCCTACGATATAAGGCCTCCAATATTGTTTCCTATCCAGTATTAGCCTTTCACATTTGGCATGGTCTGCCCTTGCTAGGGGTACCCCATTCAATGTGGCATTGTCCAAAGAGGGGCACTTTGGTTTTCTGGTAAAAAAGGCTAAGGAGCCCAGCAAATAGCAAGGTTATCGACATATTGCGCGCTTCTACCTTGTACAAACTATTTACGGATCCACTTTACAGTAAATTGCCTTACAAAGGACCCGCTCAACTCTGAGTATCAATTCTTATGTACCTATTTATATATCTCCCGTGCCTTAAGCATATTCCTTGTGAACGAAGTTGGGCTGTTGCAAACGCCCAGAGCTTCTAGCCATAAGGTAAACGATTCTTGGGTATGAATTAATACCCGCTCTTTCTATAGTTTTGTTTTTTTTTTTAGAAAATAATCAGCGAATTTGAAGAAAGATGTGGAAGTGCAAGTACTTTCAAAAAGAGCTGCAGAAACAACTTTCAAAGCAATTTTCAATTTTCGAAAAGCGGTATTTTTCGTTTCCCTCATTGTTGCTTTTTTATTATTTCGCGACAAAGTGCGCCACATGGCCAGAAATTAAAATTTTTGGTACAGCATGAGCTAGTGGGAACTTATTTCCGAAAGCGAATTGTGCAAGCTGCCCTTGTAAGTTTTATTTTTGAAGCTGGATTCCGAAAAGTGACAAAAAGTACTCACTTTTTGGGTATTTATGCGAGAAATGGGATTTTAAATTCTCAACTTGACAGTAATAATGCATTTTATTGTCGCACTTTTTGGCGAAATAATAATAAAAAAATATAATAAGGAAAACCAAAAATTTCGTCTTTCGAAAATAAAAAATTATTTTTCAAAATTTTTCTGTAACTACTTTTCGAAAGTGTTCAGTTTTGGAATAACTAGAATTGCCAGGTCTGACTGGACTTTTAGGCATATACAAAAAGCAGAGCTAAGATATACTTGTGTATATGTAAAACAGTCGGAAAATTTTCTTAAAAAGTCCCGAAAGTATTCCAAAAAGCATAAAAAACTCGAAAAGTGTCAAAACTCATTTTCTATCAATGACTTAAAATAGCTAAAATTACATCGTGCGACGATCAATTTTAAACACAAAAATCGTAACGCTTTTTTAAAGGGCTTTGACATTTCAAAGAAGTGATTACTAAAAAATCAGTCCAGTGTAAAATAAAAATATGGGCATCAAATAAAGGTCAAATTCTGTGGAAATAAAAAAAATTAAATTTGTTGGTACACAATAGGTTTTAAAAATGTCCTTTTAACATTTTTTTTGAATAACCTTGGAAATTCTCAATATTTATTTTTGAAAAAATTATATGTTAAGGATTGATATATGTATATGTACATGTCTACATCCTAGAATTTCGTCCTACTTTTTTTATTAGGTGAAAAATATAAATAAAAGGACATTTACAATACCTATTCGTCCTTATAAACCAAAAAACTTATTTTTTTTACAGAATTTGTTATTGAAGATGCTTTTTTGGTTTCAGAAACTAAAACCAAATTAAGCTGATCACATACAGCATAGTTACTACTATTTTGATGCCTGCGAAAAGGAACCTGAGTGATTTATTATTAGCACAGCATAGTATTACGCTGAATTGCGGAAATATTTCCTTTAAAAAAATATATATATTTTTTTATGTAAAAGTACATTTGTCCTTTGCATACAATAATTTAAACACTTCATCTAATAAATTTTATAATACTTAAGTATTACAAATTTTTCCTTTTTATCTAGTATGACATCTAATTTACAAAATTGCCACAAATCAACGTCAAAGGGAATTATTCTAAGTAAATGGCTGCCGTCACCTATCGTTCAAACCCCCTAGCATCATTGACGCCACTACACAAGCGTTTGTGGTGCTTCTAAGAGGCAATTGGCCAAAATAAACAGTCAATGAATATGCGAACAAAGCAAAGGTGCATAGGTACAAAGAAAATGTCTAACGAAATGCCAAGTTCATTGATGAGCTGCCTTACTAACAGTCATCATAGATATGTATGTACATATGTAGGTATTTCCACCCAAGTATTCGCTTTTGAAGCACACAAAACGTTCAAATTTTTCGCCAAGTATCCTTGCAAATCGTCCTACATCAACCCACGGGCTGTAAGGATATGAAAATTCTGCAGCTTCTTATTTACTTAAGTTTGCATGTTTATAGGAGTCGGCAGTCTATTTGTCTTGTTTGCCAATAATCTTTGTAAGAAAATGCAAAGTACTACATTTCACGGCCTAACTTACTACACCTACCCATCGGTGTAGCCAGAATGAAATTTAGGGGGGGATCGACCCTATTAAGCTGGCATTTCAGGGTACTATTTTATATATATATAAGGAAAATTTGAAAGTTAGGGGGGCCTCGAGCACCCCCCTGCCCCTACCTGGCTACGCCCATGCACCTACCTAATCTACACCTTCAACCAGTTCGGTTGTTTGCTGGTTTCCCCTGCAGCCTCCAGTGCTTTGTGTCTGTGTCTATTACGTTTATAAGCTTTTATGTGTTTGTATTGGTAAACCTCGTAATCCCTTGGTGAAGAATCACAATTCCCGTGAGTTTCCAAAAATTTAGCTTTTCGTATTTGCATTGCTTTCGTTACTACATTCTTTACACCTTTTTTTTTAAATATTTCTATTCAATTTTTTTTTTACTGTTTCCCAATTTTGTATTTTTTATTTATTTCTTTCTTTGCCACACTCAAAAAGAAGATAAAATTATGTGCTTCAGCACTAGCTAAATCCAGCAAATGGTTAACGCTTTTCTACGGCCTATTTTTGCTATCCTGCGCCTCATAATATTTGACTTTTACAATTCATTCTTCTTCTTTTTTTGTTTGTTCATGCAATCGTCGCCTTGTTGAATTTTCTCGCATTTACCTTAAGCGTACAAAAGATTCAGCATAGCTTTTTCTCCAGTTGAGTTGAGTTGAGTTAAAAAACCAACCTTCGCCACTTCTTTTCTTGAGTAAAGCTTCCTTTGTGGTATGTTAAAGTATAAAGTAGAAAAATAAAAAGCTTCTCCACTATCCTTTGGAGTGACCATCATAAACGGGCAACCGTTGAAATTGTGTATGGCACTCCAACACCTATGTATACACACATACATTCATACAAATAAAGGGTGTTTGGACAAAGGGATGTCCAACTGAGCGTACCTTAATCGAGTGAACAAGGCAAAAATGAAGAAGATGATGTAGACGAAGAAATGGTCCAATTCAATGTCTAAGTGGGTGGTTGTTTGCCCAACTTGTGGGTGTTGAACGGGCGCGTTAAGGTTTTGCGGGGGAATGAGCGGATGGGAGTGCTAGCGAATCATCAGTTGCAATGATATAAAGCAAACAACAATGGCGTCTTCATTGTTTGGCATTTCGCCCATTTTATATTTACTTTATAGTATGTAGATTTGTGTATCCTGTAGGAAAAATAAAATGATTTGTAACCTATTGCCTAACTGGTGTTTCAGGGATCGAAGAGCATTCTGCAAGCGATTGAAATGAAGATTAGGTTAGGTCTTTGTGGTTCCTCCCAGTTGGATAACTCATATTCATCGTCTGTTGGGATGCCGCCGGGAGAAGCTATCCCCGATTTTACATAAAACCAGTTTTTAAATTTGAAAAATCTCAAAGGAGACCTGATAAAACATCTAAAAATCTTAGGTCTTCTACCCATTATCTATCTCTATTGTGTCCTCTTGCTCCTTACAGCGGCTCGGTAAGTCAAAGCTCCCTTAGGAAATCCAGTAGATTGTTAGGTGGTAGGTTAGGACCCGAG